TTTAGGACTGTTTTTTTTTTTTTTTTTTTTTTTTTTTTTTCGGCTTGCGGATGGCGCGCTTGCACCCGTTTCAACAATTTTCAAGGGAAAACAGAGAGCACGTAAAAAAATGCGTACAAGCAGCGCGGAAAACAGCCGGCGAAAACATAATCGTGATTAATCGCGCTCGCTGATTTCTAAATTGAATTTCCGGGTGGGCCCGAATTCATTAAATCAACGAAACCCCCACGCTGACACTTGATGCTTCGGTACTTCAATATTTTGCAGCTGCGAGCAACAAATCACGCGGACTGGACGGGCTTTCTGTACGAGAAATACAAAAAAATACCCAAAGGGTCGATCACCGGAGGCAGCAGTTGATAGCTTTATGGAAACAAAATTAATATATGACTGCCAAAAATGATTTGTTTCCGAACAGAATCGCTACACTCTCGAAAGTAACACCTTTTTTTCCTCTTTATAAGTCATGTCGAGGCAATCGTATTTATACGTGTTTGATATAGATTCGAACCACGTGTGTATTATACTTGAGCGAGTCCGATATAAGACCCTCTCTACCGACCGAACTACGCCAGACGGCGTTTTAACGATGTTGCAGTTTTTATAGCTTTCGGAGGTGGCGTTAAAAAAAATAGGAGGTTTGTGAAGAGACTTAGATACAGGGGAAAAAAATTACCGAGACAAAAGAAGAAAAAAAAAAAAAAAAGGAGCCATCAGCGGCAACACTGAGGGCGAGGCGTTTTTCCAAAGGAAAGCCGCGAAACTGTCGGGTGCTAAGCGAGAAGGGAATCCAGAGCTTGGCCCCGATCCAAGGAGCCGCGGAATCGATACTCGCGTGTACGTGCGCCCCGGGGAGGGGACCGTGGCTAATGAGGCCGCTCCTCGTCTCCTCTCGAGCTTTCCGGTGTAATGTACGTGCGTTCGATTCACTTGTTGAGCCTACGTGCTCTTTGAGTGCGGGCGGGGTGTGCGAAAGCTCGCACGCGGCTGTGCGACGCCAATAGTCTTCTTTGAGCTTCGATGAGAAATTTGTACATTTTTTTTTTTTTTTTTACTGTATGATGTATGCAGTTGCCAGAGCTTTCAAATTTCTTTTCTAACTACATAATGTTGATTTAAGTTTTATTTCAACGATACATTATTTGTCTCGTCCGTCATGAAGAGTTCCGATGACGCGTTTTGGGATGCATGTATTTTAAAAAAATTGGCAAAATACCACAAACGTGTACATTTTTAAGCTGACCAACGTTCGCTGGTGTATGTAATTCAGTCGACATAGTGCTAACTTTGTTAACCCGATGAAAGCATACAACAAAAATTGGTTCGAAATGCTATCTGTATAAGGGCCGTTGCAATCACTTGAACAAACATAAAACCCAATAAAAAAATTGTAACCGCAGTGACGCAGATTAGTTATTTTAAAAAAAATTGAAACTACAGGGTTGACAAATAATGACGGACAAAAATTTTTCGACAAACACCGGAGGAAAAACAGTTTCATCCATCAGCGAGGCGAAATAGTAGTTTTCCTACGAGTTTGAAAAGTCTCTGTTTGCGAACCGAGAGGTTTGCGGTCCGAGCCGAAGGCGAGGTCCGTGACGAGGTTTGTAAAGGAGAGTTTTCGAACGAGTTCCAGAAAACTGCTTTTTCGCCCGAGGAAGTAACAGCCTCCCAAAACCACCCGAGGGCGGAAAAGACTTTTTTGTTCAATTTTTTCCTGACATTACATACACTTCAAGATATCACTGATGGAAAGTAAAATTCAACGATGATACAGCGATGATTCGAAATCCAATAACCCCGAGCTTGAAATCCTCACTAAAGTGTTCCCCCGATACACTTTTTATCCCGTTGACCCTTCCCCCTTTTTTATTTTCGTTCTCGGTATAATTCCTACCTTCCCATTTTTATTGCAAAAGACACACATATATATATATATTTTTTATATTATAGTGCTTTACGTCCGGCTCCTATAAAGGGCACTACACAGGGCACTTAGTATTTTGGAGAAGGAAGGGAAGAGGGATGGGAGGCCTCCCCATAAACCTATCATTATTGGGAGGGGGGTAGGGGGAAATTAGGCTATTATGCTGCGAGAAGGTCGCCTAAACCCTCCTCGAGGAGCCTTGCATGGTGAAAGAGCACATGTGAACATTCACAGAGGTACTTGCCCGACAATGTCGCACTATGGCCGGGAATCGAATCGCTGTCTCCCGCGTGTCAATCCACGACCTAGCCGACTGAGCCACCGCGCGCTCCAAATATATACATATGTATATATATATGGGAAGGAAAACATTCGCCTCGAACGCACGGGACCCCACAATGCCACCACTCGCAGAGCTTTCGACGCCCGAGGAAATGAGCTCTTCGTCCGTCGTAGGCAGCCAAGCGGCTCGTCTAGTCCTTAAAAAGGAGCCCACCCTCTTTTTTAATAAACAGCATAGGCGAGACGAAAGTTTGTTTAAACACCGCCACATGGGCGTCGATGGTCATGAAACGCTGGCCGAGGAAGAGCCGCGTCTAAGCCAGCCGGGGGTAGGTGCCAGCTCGTCGGAGATTATAGGTGCGCGCGCAGGGGGCGCCGACGACAACCCCTTTACCGTTGGGGGGGGGGTGGAAGCTTCTCTCTCGTTCGGCGGGTGAAGCACGCTCTCTCTCCCTCTGTTCCTCGCGCGCGGGCTCTTCGCCGTGGAGGCGCCCGCCAGTGGCCGCGCGTCTACCGCGATCGCCGGACCGCGCGTGGGTCATCGCCGTCGTCGTCGAGGAGCAGAGGGGGGGAGGGACACGAGGTCGACCCCGGCGCGGGCCCCGATCGCTACACGTGCATAAAGCTGCTGCTGAGGTTGCGGTGTTGGGTGCGCGTGTGCGGGCTCGTGCGTGTCATACACACGAGGAACCGGTTGCCGGTGCCGATCTCGCGGCGAGAGCTTGCGATCGATACGAGAGAAGACAGTGGAAAGTCAGTCGATTCGACGAGAAGGAGAGCGACAGGGGGGGGGGTGGAGGGACGAGATATAATGCCCGGCAGGAAGACGCGCCTCGCGAAGAGGAGGTAATTTTGATCTTTTTTTTTTTTTTTTTTTTCTTCTTTCTTTTTCATCCGTGATGTTCATCGTATATGAGGGGGACCGAAACGACTATTGTCAATTGCAGAAGCGATAATTATTTATTGTCCAGTCCAAGAGCCGTCGGCTCGATGATTAAAGTATCAATTTTGCCCGTGACAACCGGCTGGTGGTTGTAAAACCCACTCGTCGCGTCGCGTAAACGTAAATCAGCCAATTTTTCGGGATCATCTACCCCGTGTACGGGGTGTTTCGGGCGTGCTCCACTGACATGTATTTGTATTTGTTGCTGCACCCACCCCCTTTCCTCGTCACCCATCGCCTGGAGAGGAAAAAAAAGGGACAATCCAATTGTATATCTAAACTCAACTACTACTAAAATGTATTTCGCTCGTATACATATTATAGCCCCACAGTCGAATGTCAAACTGGCCTCTCTCGGCGCGTCCCGATGAACTCTCCGTATTTGCCTCCCCGTACGATTCAATCGCACGGACAGTAGCGCCAATTAATCGTCGGGGGCTTGATTACGCAATGCACGGCGCACCCCAGCTATTCGATCGGAGCGGACTTTGCGGCCCCGCGATCACGCGTCTGCGGTTGAAACGACCGCTCGCTTCGTCCATTGTACCGATGAAAAAAAAAAAAATATATAAAATCTACACCCCTAGCCGTTGTACAGCTTTTTCTCACCGGTTCTCTCCGCGATTCGAGGGCTTTGCCAGAAAAATCCATCCGGGTGCGCGTACCTATACTTACGTCGTACCGAGGAGTAAAGTAAAAGACAAGATTTCCCCCCTCGGGATGGCGAACCAACGCGACGACATACCTACAGGGCAAATGTGAAACAAAGTTTACCCCCCCCCCCTCCCCTCCCCACTGGGTAGGGTACATCCATCGGTGGGAATTTTGACACCCTCACCTGTGCGTACACGTACACGTATATAATATATTTGACGCGGGCCGAGGCTCGGCAGCACAGGGGCACACACGCTTTCTCGCTATTAGAGTTGTCGTAAGGGGATTAGAGATAATCCAATTTGGTATAAGGGCTAAGTTTGCCTCCCCCCCCCACCTCCACCCCCTATTCTGCTACTGCTGCTTCCGGCGTTGTTTGTCTCCCTTTTCCTCCGCAGCTGCTCCTCCTCCTGCGTGCACACATATAGTATACCTCATAAGTACGAGCGCTTCGCTTGATCACGCTACTTACGGTACATGTATATATATATATATACGTACACGCGCAACTACCCTCGCCCCCCTTTTTATTCTTTTCCGATTCATCCCCTCTGCAATTACATAATATACAGGTATCGTCACACTCTTCGTATAAAACATGTATGTGTATACAACTTGTTTACTTTTGTTTCAATTTCATATTGCAGCCGTACGATCTCGGCGCGAATATTCACACCCACATACACTCGAAAGGCGCTCTATTTTTTCGGATGATGTACGCATTATATTATAAGCTACGCGTATCGGACAATTTAAAATTTATTCAACGGCACTTGACCTGCTTTGCTTGCCCCTGGAGGGACCACTTTTGTACAGCCTTATATTTGAATATTTTGTGTCCCCACACTACATGTACCCTCGTGGTCATACATGTGATATCGCGTGAAATATCCAAATTAACATGGCTCCTGTGGTTGTTGGACAAGTACATGATGTCTCCCGCAGGTGAAGAGCTCACGGATGGGTGTAAACTTTGTGTTGCAGGTAGGAAAAAGGGGAAGCCGAACGAGGTCCAAGACGATGCCGATCCCGAGGACGAGGCAGTCCCGCGCGCCGGGATGGCGCGGATCATCGGGAGGAGCATCGTCGGTAGCAGGGGGGCGCTGTCGCGGGGGAGGCGCCGCTCGGAGGCGTCAGCAGCACCGGTACCAAAGTGCCGTTTGATTTATACAGTCGCGCTCGGACCCATTTGCCCCGGCCCGCGGGGCGTGTGCACCGGACAATGTTGCGCACTCGCCGGCGCTACCCGCGCTGGCACTCGACCTAATATTTCACGTACAGTAATACACCCAGTTGCGGTGTCGTTGCATGTAAGTGCGCGAGTGCGAGGTGAGCTTTCCAAAGGATACGTAATATAGGAACAGGAGAGCTACGGATCGATCCCCATCCCCCGGGGCAAGGATGGCGCTCCTGTTTGTCGTGATCGTCATCATGCTCACCACTGCCACGTCCCTGCCGCCTGTCATCCGAATCGGTGAGTATGTTTTTTTTTTTTTTTTTTTTCCCCCCGACCCCCCGGTTCGTAAGCCCTCGTGACGCGTTTTTTTTTGTTGCGGATTTGCATATTTTGTTTCCCGTCCGTGTTGAAAAAAATATGATGGGCGGTCCAACGAGGCATGCCGTCGGTGATGGTTGATCGTGGTTTTGCCCTGCGCCAAATTTTCGGACCGACAGGTTTTACGCGTGTAAAAAAAAAAAAAGCTGTGCCGTACAATGGGCGGCTAATGATTTGGCCTACGGCATCATTGTCCCCTTGCCATATGTATGTACCTATGTACTTGCTAAAAAGAAAACGGTAAATTTGCCGCGGTTGGGGAGAAAGGAAAAAAAAAAAAAAAGGGTGCGGTGAGCAATCAAGGAGAGTTCGGTAGCCGAGGTGCTTTGAAAAAACCGCGCGAAAAAAAAAAAAAAAAAACTTTGCAAGGTGCATCGCTTTCCCCCCTCCCCTCCTTTCTTCGTTCGCTGAAATATAATTCTCAAGAGTGCAAATTACGCGGCCGAGCCGGCAGCGATAACGAAGTTGCCCACCCCCTCCGAGGGAAAAAAAGCTACGAGAACAGTGCACCTCGCGTCGTATATATATAAGGCTGCTTTACGGCCCGCGTCAAAATTATCGTACCGATGCGCCAACCCCCGCTGAGCATGAAAATCACGCGTTATATACGTATACCCTACCGAATTCCTCGAGATACGTTTATGCTGGATATAAGGGGAAAAAAAAAAAACTCGTTTGATCCGTCAAATCCATCATCGATAAGTGAGTGCATGTTTGCACCGCGCGAGCACGAGTAAGTATATAAACAGTCCTCAGGTCGATTCGTACGGCTCGCACGTGCATGTATACCAAAGCCACCGTACACACATAGCCCGCGCATAATGGAATATTCCCCTCGCTTCTGCCATACATCTCCTTCGCGTCGCTGGTACGTGCTCGCATCCGTATACAAACGTACCTCAGTCAACAGCCCTTGCTCTTCATTACCCCGTTGTATTTTTCACCGCAGTTTATGTTGAAAGAAAAGAGAAAACCCACCAAAGTCCGTATATACCCCGAATTCCCTTTGGTATCGGTTTGCGCGTCGATTCCCCGTGAAATCCCCTATAGTCCCGCGTGCAAGTATTTGCATTTGATCAAGACATCGGAATCCGGTCTGATCTTCGGTGGATGTGGTATATACCCCCCGCGGCGAAAGCTCTGCCGGAAAATAAGCTCCACAGGAGCTTCGCGGGTGACGAGCCAAAGCTCGCCCGAGACCGCGCTAATGCTATTACAGGGACCAATTTTTCTCATATATGCGCCACGCACGCGTATACATTATCGGAGGAGGGCGTCCAATTTTTAATACACGGCTTAGAAGCTCTAGGAAGGTGCAATACACCTGCCTCGTTGTATATACATATATTATACAGGTGGCAGTTTGGGTGTAGAAAATATAACAATAGACACGTCGGGGCTGTCTTGTTGTACCTATGTACTCCCAATATTTGCTCGATCCACCGATAAATTTGCACTCGAGTTCCTGATATGCAGTTCCAATTCGGCATTGACAAATCGATATGGGGACACGCGTGTACACACCCGTGTGGATATCTATGTGTGTGTATGCGCGGAGAGCCCTATCGGCTTACACGTTCGCTTAATCGGATCCGATGATCTGTAGGCGTCGGGGAGGAGTATATATAGCGATCTCGCGGTAAATCTCAACGTAAACGCTGTTTCAAATTCACCCCCTGCTTGGGCTCCCCCGTCCATAACTACGTATATATACGTGTTCCCTGTGGTGCTGCTTCTGCTGTTTGGCGCGAAAGTTGACGCTACACGGTTATTAGCTTATACAGTTAGCGGTGGCTGCACGTATACGCTATATATACTGGATACCGCGGGTCGGCCGTCTCTGCCGCGTGTTTAAGTAGTATAAGGTCGATTGCGGTAAGCCAGCGAAGGTGAACCGAGGAAATTGAGCCTTAGGAGGGGGGGGGGATTTTTTATTCTACATTTTTACACAGTTGTGTTTTTTTATCGTTGGTTTTGATCGCTGGGTGGGTTTATGTCCATGTCATCGATAATACATAATTATGGCGTTCTGTGGATACAAGAAAAAATTTAGTCAATTGAAAGGGCCGAAAACTAGCTCTGATTTGGGGAAATTTGGCAGCCTGGAGGGGGTGCACGCAAAAACCTTTGACTTTTGATTTGGCTGCCTCCATATTACCTGATTTTTCAGAGACTTCGACATCCATTCAATTTGTCGGAAAAGTTCTTGGGAAGGGACGACGAGGGGGCGTTAACGAACTTGGAAACGGCAAAAATGGTAATAGTCGGAAGCGCCGAGAAAGAGGGAGCGAAATGATATATTATTCAGGTACTCTGTGCAAAGAAACGAAGGGAGTTTCTGCAAGGGACAGGATGAATCGCTCGAAAAAAAAAAAGCCAGAGCTCTCGTATTTTTTTCAAACCGTGGTAGGTACGAAATTCGTTGCAAAAACCAAACGAAGCTCCCGAGAGCTTAAACGATGTTCAATCACGCCCGAGTGACGAACACTGGAGGGGGAAAAAAAAAAACTTTATGAAAATTTATCGAAGAAAGTGTCGATAATTGAACCAAGATCCCCGAGGGGGGGCAAGGGAAACGGAGGCGTTGCCGAGTTAATTGACACCCTTCAAGAGCTCATTGCCCCACCACGGAGAGGGAACTAAAGAGGAGGAATCAAGCCGTAACTCCGGTCGAAGGGAAAATCAGGAGCGATAGCCAAAATTTTTTTTTTTTTTTTTCAAAACCCCTCCTCCGGGGGAGGGTAAAAATTAGCCTTGGGTGGAGGACACCAGGGGCTCTCCGATTAATCACCCCGATAATGGTTACACGGAGAGTTATCGCCCGGACGCGCGAGACTTGGCGAAACTTTTTGGTAAACGAGTGAATCGGAGCATGTTCAAGGGGGGGGGGGAGGAGACCATTTAGATATCTATTTCAAACTGTTTACTCCAGCTTCCTAGATTAATAGACTATATGGTGTATTGTTCCGTGGTGGATCACGATGGCCATCATCGCATCTTTCCGTCACCCTTTCTCCCTCACACATTGATGGTTATCGATGGCGCAACTAAAAGCTTCTGGGAAAGGCCGGCAAATAAGCAGCCAATACACACACACACACACACACTTGTTATATATAAATATTATCCTTATCCTTGAAGCAGATGTATAAAAGATCGGATTCCCGGCTGCCGCGGATCGATTCGATGAAAGCCGATCTTCGATTGGCGAGCATCAGCTCCCCGAGAGATGTATACAAGGTACACACCAACTAAAGGGAAAAGGCCTGTTATAATTACAAGCATGAGGTGCACACACCCATACATCTCGCTCGCAACGACTACTGTAAGATACCCCCCATGTGTGTACATGTATACATATATGTATATATCCACGCGTGAGCTAAATATCATCCGCAAGTACAGCGGACACGTTGCAGTGCGCGCGCGCGTTTACCCAATTAGTTTTGAAATTGCAAATAAATTGCGAGTCGATTCCCTCCTTCCCTCCCCACCCCACCCCTCACCTCTTGATCAGGCTTTTTAATGCCAGCGCTGTTGTGTTATTTGCCTCGCGGGGGTCAACTGTATAGTGTATGTATATATAGCGTTACTGGAGCTGCAGCGACTGCAGGTGCGTCGTCGTACGCGGCTATACTCTTAAACTCCTCCAATCTTATCCACACGAGTAGGTCTGTATATATTATATATACCTATTGTGTGTAATATACGTAACACGTGTGGCAAGCCCCCCGCGTTGACTTATTGCACCCTGTGTATGTGTACATATAGGTATGTATACACTTAAATAGCATAGGTGCGTATATTTATGTATTTATACGCAAGAAAAGTAACTGGGTGCTGCTAGAGCGCGCCACACGCGGGGCTGGGGGGGGAGTCGGTTTTGCAATATTGGAATTCGCGCTCCTGCCTTTTTAGCCTTGATCCAGATTTTCCGCGCTTGTATATATAAATACACACCCATGCGTGCCTAAAAGCGTATATCCTATGTGTTCTCGCTCGACCAAACGTTATATATGTGGAATACACGCGTGTATATTACACATGGAACAAGTGTGCTCGAGAGAGAGAGATCCTCTCGCTATGTTGTTGCGCCGTTGGTATTTTGCAGCCGCGGCAAACTGTTTGGCCGTTAAATTCCAATTGTCCGGCTATACGTGTGTATATATAGGCACTACCTTTGCAGAGATACACACCTCGCGGGCACCAGAGAGAGGTACTCTAATCCCAGAACAAAGAGCAATTATTCGAAAGTCCGTGCGAGTATGTACGGATACCGATGTATATGTCCATGGGTCTTGTGTGCCATTGTCGTATTTATATATATGTAACCGTTCGACGAAATCGTTAAGATTTTACGTCCAGGGAAATAACGCGCGCTCGAATGTAATTTTTTTTTTTTTTTTTTTGCGAAACGTACAAGTTCAACTGCCGCGTACTTACACGCGCGGTTGGGCTGTCGCGGCTTTTCGGTCTCGAATCCGCCCGAGTACGCGGGAAATCGAGAGGTTTATCAGGGAATCTGGAACTCGCCGAAGAATTTCTATATCGGCGCCCACGAAGGCATCGCGTATGTACCCCAGTACACGTCCACGATGAACTTTGACTACCTCCTTTGTTCGAGATCTCATGGAGTCCAGGGTAGTTGTTCAACGTAGTCCTTTTTTTTTTTTTTTTTTTTCTATGATTTTTTTTTTTTTTTTTTTTTTCTACGCGTTTTGACGCGTCAAGCTGATCAAGGGAATTCAATTATCTACAATTTCAAGTTGTACGATGACGATCATTTATTTTGTACATAACAAAAATTTAGTTTAATACATTCCATCAATAACAGCGATACATTGATAATAACCGCATGAATTAATTTCATTTTAATATTAATACCCGTGTTGTGCGACATTTTATAATTATATGCTGCA